GGAAGATGATCTTTAGAAAACAAGGACGAAAGGAATGTCATTTGTTCTTTGTGAATAAGAACACTGTTCAACAAACACAGGCTGAACAAAGACACAGTTAACACAGCTGGAGTTCACAGACCAGCTCGGCTTATCCACGGCTAACTGGTGAAGTGTGACATGGAAACACAAGTAGAGATAAGGAGAAATATCAACACACATACAGAGACCCAAAGATACTGATTTCACTGTAATAATTTATATTAACAATAATTTGACATACAGTACTGTGAAAAAGTATTTGCCCACCCCCTGATTCCTTTTTGTTGTTGTTGCATTTTTCATACTTTAAACCCCAGATCATCAAACTACCACCACCATGTTTGACTGCTGGTGTGATGTACCTTTTATGAAATGTTATGTTAGTTTTACATCTGATGTATGGGATGGAAAGCTGGTGGCAAATACTTCTTCACAGCGCTGAACACTCATTGTTAGCATTTTGGACTTATTTTAATGGATTCCTGCCTGAACTTTCTTGCTTGTCTCAAGCACAACAGGCAACCATTAGAAGAGAGTTTAACCCTCATCCTACCGACATATTTAATATGCATGGATTAGTTATATAGTTATTGTCATCTAAAAGAATTATTAATTCAAATTAATTAAAAATGAATATGCATATTTTATATAAAACAAGAATCTGTATTTTTCTTTAAAACAACTTGCATCTTTTATCCAAAATGTAATTCATGTTACTTAAAAGCTTATTTATGATCTTTTGAGTGTGGAATCACTTAGTTTTCAATCATTTTAAATAAACATTATTTCTGTTGTATTTATATGATGAAACCAATCAGGCTTCAGATAAACACACAACCAGCCAACCCAGAGAAACAATCTCTACCATGTCCTGGGTCTGCCTTCTAGAAAAGTCCGAGGTGGTGAGGATCCCTGAACTCACGTCAACGGCCTTCTTTGGATGTGGAGGCATGGCGGCTGCACTCTAAGTGCCTCCCTAATGACTCAGCTCCCATCCTGCCTCTGAGGGAGAGCCTAGATATGATTCAGAGGGAACCCATTTCTGCTTTTATTTCATTTTTCCGTCACTATCCAGAGCTCGCAACCACAGGTGATGGTTGGGACGTAGATTGAACTATAAAGACCAGTGTACCAGTAGCAGTGCACCAAGCCGTAGAAAACCGAGATGATATCCTGAGACCACTGAACCCTCCACGCCCCCCCTTACCTTGGCTGTGCCTAGAAAATCTGTGCATAAATATTATGAAATGAAGCAGTGATAAAGGGCAGTCCTGTCTGCGCGGCCTGACTTTCTGCAGGCGGTGCAGAGAACCAAATTACTATGATTGTGCAGGAAGCAGAAATGACTAGAGATAACTAAAGTTAATTTAGTTGCCACTCAGACTGGGGATTTTCATGCAGCGGTATGAGCTCTGCTTTTAATGTGTGGCATGACTATGTCCATGCCACTTTACTAAGAACTAATTGACTGACAAAGAAAGAAAATACATTTGATATATGACAAAAAAAATTACCTCTGGGGTCTGCACGGGCCCCTGACAGTACGATGAGGGTTAAAAGACATTTCCAACATGCCTATCCGATGTCATCGTGTGAAGTATGTGATGGAACTACATTGGGGGTTTTTGTATAGTTTTCTCATGTTTCACATGTGCCTGCTTGCCTGAATGTTGCAAAGTCAGTGCTTGAGTGGCACATTGTGCACTTATTGATGTGCCTGTCAGACAGAGAGCAAAGGAGTAGTAATGTTATGCAGTTCCTGTGGAAGTCGTTTAGTTTTGCTTTGAACTCATTTTTCTTGAATGAATCCAAAGCCACAGGCTTATTCTACAAATTATTTTTACTTAATAATAAGACAAGAAATCATTGCACTGGTGTTAAAGACATAAAAGGAAATATTCAATCTAAAAGACTGGATTTATACAGGGTATACAGTCACTCATTTCTGGATGCCTTTATTGCCCTTGGAGTGACCTCACCAGGAAAAAATGACACCATCACGAAATAGCTTGAACTCCGGCTAACTGTTAGGTACCCAGGTGGCAACACTTGACCCTGGATATCAAATTTCAGTGTCATGGTTCACCTTAGGTAGAAGGTTTTGAGACAGCTGGTAAGAGCTATGAGGTAAATACACCTGGAAACAACAAGTCAGCAATTTAAATGATGAAACATGCTTTTGACGCACTTAGTAGAACACGCTAATAACCACCGGATATAAAACTGTAGCTTGTTGAATATAATTAAAATAAACGCTTAATATATATTTAATTTACATCGAATTAAATACTGACAACTATTTTAATGTACACACGTTTTACAAAAATGTTAAATAAGTGAATTCTTTAAAGTTGTTAAGAAATTAGCTGCTGGAGGAAGCTGTTTTGACGCAATATAGCACGCCAATAACTCCGTAGATATATCTAAAATAAAGGTAATTCATGTTTAAATGACTGATAATTAAATACCGATACTTGTTTTTAAAGTACACATAACTCGCACAGTGCAACACGTTAACTGTTTGTCAAGCACCACAAAAGTAGCACAAGTTTGCTTTTTGTGTGGTAGGTGTCTCGCAGGTCCAGGTGTTTGTTTTTTTTTCACAGCAGCTTGAAACAATGCACTGCATCGTAGGTATAGGCTACAGTAGGTCATTTATCTAACACCTCGGAATGAATAAAAAGAACACCGTCACAAACGCACTTGGCCGTTTTCTAACACGGTCGCTCTCAGACCGGCCAGGTGAGCTCTTACCTGGCGGTTCGGTGAGTCCAGTTTATTCCCCACTGCATTCCAGAGGCGGGATGTCAACATGCGCAGGTTTCTGCTCCACTTTGAAGCCTGCTTCCTCTCAACAGGTCGTATCTGAACGTTTCAGGGTGAAATCTGAGAAGCAAGGCCCTCCTGCTGCTCCGGCATGGGCGTGGCACTCAGAAGAATGCTATAAAATCCTCCACACAGTGGGAGACACTTCTACAACCATACGTTTGAGCTATCCTATGTAACGTACAGTGAAATATTACCCCGCTTGAGCCGCATACAGTTCTGCTATATAATACCATGTGCTCTACTTTGACTGCCATATTGCAAAGTTAAACACACAGTGCGTTTAATCAACGGCGAGGACACTCTTATATTCCCATCCCTTAGTGCATGAATAATTAGTGCATTAATAATTTCCAACAGATGTGTTGGAACACGACTTTATTCTTGAGTCTAGTCCGGTATCCAGCTCCCAGGTTGGAAGTCAAAGAGTTTACTTGTGTCGTTTCAGTACAGCGCAGTGCAACAGACACAATTTAGATCAAAACACACACACACACACACACACACACACACACACACACACACACA